GTGAAGATGTACTTTAGGCTCTTATGGTCCGTGTAAATCTTGCACTGCACCCCGTATAAGTAATGCCTCCAAATTTTCAGTGCGAACACGATAGCGGCTAGCTCGAGGTCGTGGGTGGGGTAGTTTTCCTCGTGGGTTTTGAGCTGCCTGGATGCGTAGGCTATTACTCGGCCTTTTTGCATTAGCACGCACCCCAACCCCTTCTTGGATGCGTCACTGAAGACCTCGAATCCTTCTTCCCCGGAGGGGATGGCGAGTACAGGTGCCGTGGTTAACTTATCCTTCAATTCTTGAAAGGCCGAGACGCAGTCGTTGTCCCATTGGAAGGGGGTTTCCTTTTTCATGAGCTTGTTGAGGGGTTGGGCTATCCTGGTGAAGCCGGGTACAAATCTCCTGTAGTAGCCCGCCAAGCCTAGGAAGCTTCGGACTTCGGTGAGTGAGCTTGGGGTGGTCCATTCTTTAACGGCACGGATCTTGGCGGGGTCCACCTTAATCCCTTCCTTGGTTATCACGTGACCCAGGAAGGCCACGCTGTTTTTCCAAAATTCGCATTTAGAGAACTTGGCGTATAGTTGGTGCTCCCTTAGAGTTTGCAGGGTTATGTGGAGGTGTCTTTCATGTTCTTCCTTGTTTCGGGAGTAGACTAGGATGTCATCAATGAATACGATGACGAAGTCATCCAAGTGGGGTCGGAATACTCGGTTCATGAGGTCCATGAATATAGCAGGCGCGTTGGTGAGTCCGAAGGGCATTACGGTGAATTCATAGTGACCGTAACGTGTCCGGAAGGCTGTTTTCTGAATGTCCGGTTTGGCCACCTGTATTTGGTGATACCCGGATCTTAGATCAATCTTTGAGAACACCCCTGCCCCCTTAAGTTGGTCGAACAAGTCGTCGATTCGGGGAAGGGGGTACTTATTCTTTATCGTGACTTGGTTAAGTTCTCTGTAGTCGATGCATAGGCGCATGCTCCCATCCTTCTTTTTAACAAACAACACTGGCGCTCCCCATGGGGAGGTGCTAGGACGGATGTAGTCTTTGTCTAGCAATTCTTGCAGTTGCGTCTTTAGCTCCTTCATTTCTTTAGGTGCTAATCGGTAGGGGGGTTTAGAAATTGGGGCAGCGCCCGGTACGAGATCTATGGTGAACTCAACTTCTCTGACTGGGGGTGCCCCGGGGATTTCGTCCGGGAAGACGTCGGTGAATTCGTTTACCACTGGGATGGTTTGTGGTTCGGGGTTTTGGTGCTGAGGTCCTCGACCGAACATAGGAAGGCCTCGCTTCCCTTGTTTAGGTATTTCTTCATTTTCATCATGTTCACCACTTTGATCCCGGCTTCCCGGTGGGTTCCATGGTAAGATACCCTCTTACCGTTTGGTCCCCGTAGGACCACTTTTTGTTCTCCACATAGGATTTGGGCTTGGTATTTCCCTAGCCAATCCATGCCCAAAATCACTTGTACCCCATCCAGTTTGAATCGGATTAAGTTGCTGGGAAATTCCGCCCCTTGTATGGTGATCATTATATTTTTGTACATGCGGTCGCATTCTAGGATTTCGCCGGAGGCCACTTTGACCTGGAATCGGACCTTGGTGCTGGTGTTGAGGCCAAGCCGAGTGACAAACTCGGTTGCTATAAACGAGTTGGTAGCCCCTGAGTCAAATAACAATGTGGCGGGGGTGGCGTGTACTAGGAAGGTTCCGGAGACTATGTTGCTATCCCCAATTTTGGCTTTGCTTAGAGTAAGGATTCTTCCTTGAGCGGTTGGTGTTGTGACTTGGCGGGGCGAGGCGGCCCTGGGGCTTTTAAAGCCGCGGTTGGGGTTCATGTGATTTCCTTCTGATTTCCTTTTGTTTCCCAGGCGTGTTTCCCGGGGTTGGTTTGGCACTTGTTGTAGTTGGGATGCTTTGGCATAGGCTTCCCTGAGGGTTCCTGGCTCTTGTGTGGCCAGGTCTTTTTGATATTCGGGGTCAAGGCCGGTTATAAACCTTTCGATCCTGATCCTCTCGGTGGGTACTAGCTCGGGGATGAGGCGAGCCAGTTGGCGGAATTGTTGGTAGTATTCCATGATCGAGGTTGCACCTTGTCTTAGGTGGAGGAATTCTTCGTATATGGTGGCTCTTAGGTGGTTGGGATAGAATTGTTCTCGTAGCCGCGCTTTTAGGGTTTTCCCAGTTGAATCCGGGGTCTTGTTCGACGGTGGGTCCTTCGTGAGCCCACCAGGTGTCGGCCTCGTGTCTGAAGTAGAAGGAGGCCATTTTTACTTGGTGGTCTTCGGGGCATTTAGTTGCCCTGAATATCTTGTCGAAAGTCCCGATCCACTCCTCGAGAGTCGTGGGATCTTCGTTTCCTGAGAGGGTGGGTGGTTGGTGCGTCGAGATTTGTTGGTGGATCTCCAAGGTCTCGTTTGGTAAAGGCTGGGGAGCGGTAGTACTTAGTGCCTGGGCAATTTGGGCCAGGCGTTGTAGATTCTGAGTCAGGAATTCCTCGGTGGGGAGTTTCGGTGTTCCTACCTGTCTTCTTCTCGGTGCCATCCTGGAGTTCATAGGTCGATGTTATTTTGCGTCCTTTCCTTGATGCAATAAGCGAAGGGGGGGGGGGGGGGTTCTTTAAGTTAGAGAGGGATAAAGTGAGGAGAGGTTATGTGTAGGTTTCACAATCTCACCGCGCGTCCTAAGATTCCTAAATCCTATGTTCCTAAGTACCTAGTGTTTAAGCTTAATGTCCTAAGGTCTGATCATAAGAGTCTTATCCTAGGGTCAATTTTAGGCTCTGATACCAACTGTAACACCCCAGATTTTCAGGATATTTAAAACTTATAAATTAAGGGTGAAATCTCATTAAATCCCAAACAGAGTACGAGTGTACGGGGTGCTATGCCACACCTGAGCTAGAGAACTCAGGTGCACAGGCTAACTAACTAATGTCTCAAAGATATGAATGCATAAACATGGCACGCAGGCCGAAAGGGAAACTAACTATTTCTATAATCCAAGCTCTAGCGCACTCCAGTGACTTAATCTTCTGTGCCTGAAAGCCAAATATATCTATTCAGCGAGAGATGCTGGTAACCCACTCCAACGCGTTGAAATACATTACATATAGAGATATATATATAGATATACGAAAAGTCATTTCGAGGCATGAAGATATATCCTACGAGACTCTAGCTTTTAAAACCGGGAATGACTCGACAGATAAGGCCAGACACAAGCAACAGTTATAACCAGCGTATATGATCCACAATAGGCAAGACATATAAAGATAAGCACAATTAATAATCACAACCCAACATAAACAATCCCCAGCATAAACCCCTTAGTCACATCCCCCAATATACTCATAAACACAACTCCTCCATATCTCATCACATAACACACTTTGTTGGCGCCACAGGACCAATCGCATGCCCATACATGAGGGTCAGCGCATATAGCTCTGACACGGCCCCGCAGCACCCTGCCCCGTCTCACATTACGGAGGAGTCGATCGCAACCGACTGATGGACCTTTGTCCTATATAATATTTATATACCTGACCGGTCTCTACCAGCCTGGTTAAAAGCCGGTATGGTTCTCAGCCCACCCGACTGCCCGTATAGTGGAACTTAGTCCTATATAATATTTATATACCCGACCGGTCTCTACCAGCCTGGTTAACAGCCGGTATGGTTCTCAGCCCACCCGACTGCCCATATAGCCCGATTGATCTTAACCAACTCGGGGTTACATGCACACATAACACATAGCAAGTACATGCAACCCACATTAACACATTGGGAAGGGGGAGAAAATGTATAACAAAACCTATGCGTGATCCATCACATACTAAGAATAGTCCTAAGGGGTTCATACTGCTTCTACCTAGGTCAACGGGATACCAATTCAACTAGCATGCAATATAATAGACTCATAAACCTACGAACGGTACCCGAAATATCAAACTAGACAAAGGCACGATTAACGGAGTCCGTTGGGACACCACGGGGGACGGGGAAACATCAAATGGGGAAGCCGAGATCCCGAGGGGGATGATTTTCCAGCGGGTAGCCGGTGGGTGGGGGGCCACCCGCCGGCTGCCCGCCGGGCATTACTGTTCCGGGCAGCGGGTCGCCGGCGGGCAGCTGCCCGCCCGCCGGCCGCCCGCTGCCGGAGATGTGTTTTCCGGCCGTGGGTAGGTGGCGGGTCCCCTACCCCCCACTGACTCTTATCACACAATTTCGCCCCGGGAACCATTGTGGAACCCGAAACCATGCTTAGACACTTTACAACGCAATTAACGACAACACGTAGACAATTAACGGATCAAATACGAGGAAAGAACGGCACATAACCTATCATGCTTTTGTAAACATAATCAACACCCAAACATGCGATTACCCCTCCCGATAACCCAAGAATAACATCATACGATACAACCTAGGGTTCTAATCACTTTTATATCAACAAGAATACGATTCGCCTTCTAATTGCAAGATTCGGTAAGAATAACACATAAGCATCAAGGGTATCATACAATTATCAAGAACAACACATAATCATCAAGGACTCCATATAATCATCAAGAACATCATAATTATCAAGAATCTCCAAATATCAAGATTATCAAGATCCCTCATGGGATCATCACATCAATCATCAATAATAGTCATCACAAGTCATTAATACACAATAATATGGGGAAACCCTAAGGGGGAATCATAACTATGAAAATAGGTTTTGTTGAGACATGGGTTACCTTTTAGCCTTAATTAATTCCTTGGCTATGAAGGGTCTTTCTTTAAGCTTTCTTGCTTTCTTGATTTCTTCTAAGGGGATTCTTGGAGCTCTTTGGGTGGTTGGGCGTTAATGTGGTGGGGGGTTTCTAGGTGCCTCTTAAGTCCCCTATTTATATATTTAGGAGTCCTAGTTAGGAACTAATATTATGGGCTTGCTAGTTCTATTTCTTTTGGGACTAAGGATTGGGTTTAGGGATAAGGGCCCGTGGACTATGGTGGGCCTTCCTAATTGATTATTGTGATTTAATTCTTTCTTTTGGGGCAATTGATTAAATGATTTAATTGATCTTAGGGGTCGTAACACGGGGTGTTACATAACCTCTCTAAGGTTATGTTCTCTCACTTCTCTTGATTTACACTCTTCTTGAAGACAAATAATTTTAGCCTTTAAGTCTTTCACTTCAAATAGAGCATTTTGCAATTTTTCATTTAATTCATCTTTTTTGAGAACTAAGAAATTATTGCGCTCTTTGAGTTGAGACTGAGTGTCCATAACAGTTTGAGAATCTTTCATTAAGTGAAAGATGGACTCTCTAGAGAATGAAGAATTTACAGAGTCATAAGATTTAGATGTTACCTCATCTTCTTCATTTTCATTTGCCATTAGACACATGTCTTCGTAGGATGAATTGTTGGAGATACTCATGCAAAACATTACATTGTCATCTTTTGAGGTGTCACTTTCATCACTTGAAGACTCCTCTGACTCACTTGTTTCTAGTGGGTCACTAATAAGTGCTTTTCTTCTCTCCTTTGTGAACCTTTTGTCTTTGGTCTTGAATTCTTACTGTTGAGGGTTAGAAATATTTGTGTATTGACTTTTACTTACCTTGGGGTTTGGACAACTTGCTGCAAAGTGTCCAGGCTTTCTACAATTGTAGCACAAATTTGAATCTTCCTCAACTATTTCTTTCTTTGAATTTTTCGTTGCATTCCATTGTTTTCCTTGTGGATTTTTCTTGTAGTTGCTCCTCTTCATGAATTTCCTAAATTTCTTGACAAAGAGAGCAAATCGATCATTAGGCAATAATTCATTTTGTACTGACCTTGAGGTTGATGGTTGCTCGGCTATGAATGCGTTGTTCTTTTCTTCATGATCTTCCTCTATCCTTGACTTCATCTCAAACTCATAAGCTTTTAGATCACTAAAAAGCTTATCGGTTGATAGGGTTTTTAGATCTCTATGATCTCTCATGGCCGTGGCCTTCTTCCTTCCCTAGCAGGTACCCGAGGTAATCCTTATACCCCGTGCCTTAGGTACCGATCCATCCCTTCCGGTCATAATCTGACACACCCGTGGTGGTCAGTTTTAAGAGTTTGGCCAAGCAGCCTTCGGAGAGTATTATCTCCTTGCCTCGGACTTTGGCGGTGATTTCCAACTTATCACCCCGTTTGACGGCTACCAAGTGGTGATAGAATTCTTTCACCAATTCGGGGTACGTATCCCATTTGATTATGAGATAGGCATCCAAGAGCCCTTGGAAATTAAACATATCGACCAACTCCGGAGAGAAATTTTCGGGTTCAAGGGCTTTACCTCCGATCACGGTGTAGTCAGTTCTGTTCCATTCTGGGGTCCGAATACCAACGGGCTTTTTCGGCATTGTCGGGATTCTTCGAGGGGGGTATTTTCCGGTAAGTTTCCGGCGAGGGCTTTTCCGGCGACGAAGGGGGAGGGGAGGGGGGGCGTAGTCGGTTGTTCCGGTGTTTGTGGCGGGGTGTGATGGCTTGGCGGAGTGGCTGGCAGCGGGAGAAAGTCGGGTGGCGCACGGCAGTGGCGGGCGAAGGGCGGGCTTCGTAGCAGCGGGGTGTAGCCGAGTGGTTTCCGGGGCGTCGACGGCAAGGCACGGGGCGGTGGTGCGGCCTGGGCGATGGACGGTGGTCGCTGGTGGCGGTTTACATGGTGGGGCGAGCTGTGGTGTTGTTTGGGTGGTGGACGGCGGCGCGGAGAGGGGGGGAGAGGAGGAGAGAGAGGGAGAGAGTTTGTGTGGGGCGGAAGGAGAAGGGTTTTTGATTTGGGGATTTTGTGGGTTTTAGAGATTTGTAGCGGTTTAAGAAGGGAGTGTTCTCTTGAGGTTTTAAGAAGTACTCATGGCCTAGTGTTTAAAGATTTAGTCTTATAAGTGAAAGGTTTAGAGTTCAATCCCCATTGGTAACCTTAGTTTCTTTGTTATGCACCCTTTGGATTCTTTTGTCTTTTCTTTCCTTTGTCTTCTAGTGGTAAGAGGTTTGACCAGTCTTCCTTGTTGAACTTTTGTCTTTAGTGGATGTTGACTTTGGTGACTCATGGGTTCTTGGGGTTGTCTAGTCCTTCTTCTTATGCTAATTTATTTTGATTTTGTTTCTTTATTTATAATAATTCTGAAGTAGCTAAACTAAACAAGTAACTTTACTACGAAGGTGGTTACAGGGGGTTCACTAATCATCCTAAACAGAATTCGTCTCCTTGGTTTTCTCCTGATTGGTTTGTGGGGTCCTCGTCTCCTGGGGCCACGTTTTCTTCGTCGAAGTTGCCTTCGTTTTCAAGTTCGGCCTGAGTGCGGCTCATGACGAACACCTTTCCGGGAGCATCGTAATTTCCTTGATTGTTCAAGCCTTCGTGTTGGCCCATGATTGTGGGGCGCGAGTTCGGGGGTTGAGTGTAGTGGAAGGACCTGTGGCCTTCTCCTCCGCAGTTGAAACATCACCAAGGGTTTCACCTGCAGTCCTTGCCTTTGTGATCTTTGTTACATTTCTGTCAAAGGGAGGGCCTCGTATTAGATTCGTTGTTCCTTAGAGGCAGCCCTTGGCCAGCCAGGTTGCCTGGCCTTGTGTTAGTGTCATTTCTTGTTCTTTTTTACAGGTGGCGCTCCACCTCCCGTGTTCCTCTTACGAATCTGTTCCTGGACTCCACGTTGTAGTAGTTGGATTCGATAGAGGTTGGCGGCACTGGAGTAAGCCTCATTGAGCAACGTCGCTTAGTATTTAGGCAACCTGTGTCAATTGCTGTAGAGTCTGAGCCAGGGGATCGTGTGTGGTGGGTTCCGGAGTCCTTAACTGTCTTCTGTTTGGTGCCATGTCGTTGGTCTACAGGGCCAATGTTTATTGTAACGATGAGTTAGAGCATTGCACCCTTACCTTGATGCGATAAGCGAAGGGGGAAGTTCTTTAAATTAACGAAAGATAAAGTGAGGGAAGATTATGTAATGATAGGTAGGCTCACAATCTCACCGCGCGTCCTAAGATTCCGGAATCCTATGTTACTAAAATACCTAGAGTTCAAGCCTAGTGTCCTAAAGTCTGGTCTTAAGAGTCTTATCCTAGGGTTAAACTTAGGCTCTGATACCATCTGTAACACCCCGAAATTTTTAAAACTTTTCAATCTTATAATATGAAAGCAATTCTATTAATAAATTCCAAATAGAGCATTCTGAACATAAGGGTCTGGGGTGTTATGCCACATCTGAGCTGGAGAACTCAGATACACATGTTGTACTAACTAATTATCCTCAAACATTGTCAATACATCATCAAGCCACGCAGGACGGAAGGAAAGACTAATCTATCTAAGCCGAGGTCCTCTAGCGCGCTCCGATAGCTAATCATCTGTGCCTGAAAGTCAAATATATCTGTTCAGCGAATGATGCTGGTAACCCACTCCAACGCGTTAAAATACAATATATATATATATATATATATATATATATATATATATATATATATATATATATATATATATATACACTTGCACTCGGGTGCGAACGGCTCACCCAGGCGCGAAATAGGAATTAATTACAACCGTTGATCGGCGTTCATCCAACGACCATCATTCGTATTAACTTTCTCGCGTTTTGCCGTTTGTAAGGACATTCTTGTCTTTTTAGGCGTTTGTTTCCAAATTTGTATTCTATCCTCTTTTATTAGTCGTCGTCTTCATTATTCGAAATCAAAAGCTCGATCTGGTGATCGCATAGGCATTGCAGTTCTTCTTTTGCGGAGGCATTCATCATCTGTGTATCATACGATCGCAATGGATCCAGGTATTGGTCTGTTTATATTGATCACTTAAGATGAATTGCTGGTATCTTGGTTACTGGTTTTAGTTGAATTTGTAATTCAGTCATCGTGTTTCCGTAGGTAACTGCATTGAAGGTTTAATTTACATTTAGCTAATTCTAGAAATATTGCACACATAATTGTCGGTCCATCTGTAATGGATGCAATTTTTTTGTTACTTAGTTGCATCGTATATATTATTTTACTTGCACACTATGGGTTATGTACTTGCAATACTTGTATATTTATATTCATTGTCTAAGATGAATTATTGTTATCTGGCTCACATGTTTATTTGAATTTGTAAATCATTCATCGTGTTTCTGTAGGTATTTGCATTGAATTTGAATTTGCATGTATATAATGCTAGAATAATTTCACACACAGTTGTTGTTCCATCCGCATTCCAGGCTTTTTTTTTGTTATTTTATTGCGTTGTATTTATTATTTACTTGCACACTACGGTTTATGTACTTGCAATAATGTTTAATTATATATAGTTTATGGTAGATTACCAGTAGTTGTACATTTGTCCACACAGGTGAAGTGGATTCGTATCATTTGGATACTTCTCCTGGCTTGACAAAATATTACGTCCCTTTGTGTGAAGATTCAGTTAAACCGTCTGTTGGGAAGGTTTTTCCTGATTTGGATACTGGGGTTGCATTTTATACTAAATATGCATCGATTGTTGGGTTTGATATTCGACTAAGTCACTTGTCAAAATGTGCTGATGGGACCATTGTTTGGAGGTATGTTCTTTGTAATCGAGAGGGCCATAAGCACGTTGTTTGTAGGGATAAATCGTCAGTAGCAGAATTGGATGGTGATGCGGAGTCTTCGGTTAAAAAGAGGAGGAGATTTTCAAATAAGGTTGGGTGTGGGGCTTGTGCTATTTTTAGATATGGAGGTGATGGCACTTATGTTATTCACAGGTTTGAAGAGCGTCATAACCATTCATTGACATCAGTAATGTCAAAACAGTTTCTGAAGATGAATAGAAAGGTTGGACCTGGTCATATGAGGTTCGTTGCTGATTGTGGAAAAGTGAACATTGGGCCAGTGCAGAGTTTTCGGTTGTGTGGTGAGATGTGTCGTGGGTTGGCAAATGTTGGTGCAACAAGTTTGGAATTTCGGAATATTAAAAGGGATGTGGACGCATTTTCTGCTGGGATTGATGCTCAGATGATTGTGACTAATTTCTTTAAAAAAAAAAAAAAAAGAAGTATGTCCAGCTTTGCTTTTTGCATTTGATGTTGATGAGTATGACCACTTATCCAGATTTTTTTGGGCTGATGCGGTTTCTAGGAAGAATTTTAAACTTTTTGGTGACGTTGTGTCATTTGATGCAACATATCAGACAAACAGGTTAGTTTTGGTAGTGTAGGGCATAAGTTTTATATTCTGTTGTGTTATTGGTCATATTTTTTGTCATAATGCAAGTATATATGTTTATAGGTGCAACTAGTCTACACTAAATGCGCATGTACTCTCTGACAAAATTTACATTTTTTTTCTAGGTATGATATGGTGTTTACACCATTTACTGGTGTTAATAACCATAAAAATTCTATTACTTTTGGGGCTGGGTTGTTGACAAAAGAGGATATTGAGTCATATGTGTGGTTGTTTGAGAAATTTAAGGAAGCGATGGGTAGTTAGCCAGTATTGGTTGTTACTAATCAAGATCCAGCAATGTGGGTTGCATTTTCATGTGTGTTCAAGGAAGCTAAGCATAGGTTTTGCATGTGGCACATTATGTTTAAGGTAGGAGATAAGGTTGGCCCTTCATTGAGTAAAAATGAGACTTTTAGGTCAAAGTTGAATTCTGTTGTATGGAGTCATTATTTGGATCCAGCTGAATTTGATTATCAATGGAATGTTGTCATGGAGGAGTTTGGGTTGTTGGAGCATAGTTGGTTTGTCAAGATGTATGATCTTCGTCATCTTTGGGTTCCTGCATACTTTATTGATGTTAGTATGAATGGTTTAATTAGGACTACTTCTCGGAGAGTGAGAATAGTTTGTTTGGTTCTTTTACTACTCCTCAGTCCAACCTGGTTGAATTTTTTATGCATTTTGATCGTGCGATTGATAGTCAACGCTATTCTATTAATAAACTCAACAATGACTCGGAGGCATGCTTTCCAGATTTGAAGACACCACTGTCTATGGAGAAACATGCTGCATATGTGTATACTCTTACATTTTTTTATTTGGTGCAAGCTGAGATTTGTGCAGCATGTTTTAGCTGTCGAGTTCTAAATATTCGGGATGACCAAGGGGTCTTGTATTATGATATTAAAGACGAAAATGACCGAGTGTTTAGGGTGGTGCATAATGTTGCTGAAGTAAAAGCTTCATGTGGATGTAAACTGTTTGAAAGGGTAGGGTTGCTTTGTAGGCATATTTTTGTAGTTTTCAAAGATTTGAGCTTGGATTCAATTCCATTGGTCTATGTAGTTAATCGGTGGACCAAGAGTGCATCATTGGGTCAAACTTTTGATATTGATGGTGTTGTTGTTGATCAATGTGGAGGTGTTGATGAGAAGTTGGTGATATTGAAAAATGTGTGGTTTGATATTCAAAGCTGTGTTAGTATGGTTCAGTCTGACATTGATCGTTTGAAAGTGTTTTCCCAGATCATAAGGACCACAAGAATATGTTTTTGGCTGATAAGGGTGGCTGTTCTTCTGCTGTTGATAAGAGGTCAGTCATCGAGTCAATATGTGGTTCTTCAGTCCCTTCCGAAGTTTCCATTCTTCCACCAAACAAAGCAAAGAACAAGGGTAGTGGTAGGCGCATTAAAGGTTGCAAGGAGATTACCATTGAACAAAGTAAGAAGGAGAGGACTTGCAAGACTTGCAACAAACCTAATCATGATAGTAGGAATTGTGTGTTGAGGAAAACGAAGGATAAGGTGTGCAGTTTATAGATACTCTAGATACAATTGTATTTACATTTTTTGTTGTCAAAATATGACTACGAGGGATTCTTTATAATGTTGGTTTAGTAGTTATGGAAGTAGTTCTTAGCTTAGATGGAATAATCCAGTGTTGATATCTCGTGTTAGGATGTTGTGTATTGTTGTTGCACTAATATAGAAGATTACATGCAGTTTTATTGCAGATTACATGCACTAATTGTTGCATGATTACTTGTGAAGATTACATGAAAGTTGATTACAAGTATAATTGTTATAATATAAACAATTAAATGCATTTACTAAGAAAAACGGTTGCAGAGTTTATTTGTGCACTTTCATATAAAAATATGATTATTAATAGTGTATTATATTGTATGCAATTAAAAGCATATTTAATTGCACTTGTAGGAAAAATTATTTGCTTTAACAAGGAAGATGTGTTGTACATGTGGCTTAATAGAGAAATGGAAGTAGTTTTAGCATATATGGAAATATAGCAGATCTAATTGCGTTAATATAAACAATTACATGCATTTATAACAAAAGGTGATTGCATTGATCTGACAGTAAATGTTAGGTGCACCAGTATATCAACTATATGCGCTTACAAGTTACAAGTATAATTGGGTGCATTCCTCCCACAACTAGGTTACTAGATATGCCTTACAGTAGAGTACAAGCACTTATGCTACTAGTACTTGCACACAAGTTTGACTTCATATAGTCAACATTCCAAAAGTAGTTACTAAATTCAAAGGCAACTCAAAAATTGGTTTGTTTAAAGATTTAGTTGCCTGCACCAAAAACACATTCACAGACGTTCACATAGAAAAAAAAAAACAATTAGGTGTCAATCACTTCTTTTACTTTGAGGCCTTCTGGAAATTTCTGGCAAGCTTCATGCATTCCTCTCGCTGTTCATTGGCTGGGCCATTCACGATCTCTGCAAGGTACTTCACCTGCAAGTTGTTTAGGTGTTCTCGATTTCCTTTTTCAATCCCACAGTCCCAACCCCTCACACCTTTCCCCATATATGTCTCCATGTGTCGCATAGCGAACACACCACAGTCAACTTTGTTCTCATCAACTCTCCAGCTCATTTCAAGTCTTTATGGTGTTAGTCCCCGTACAAGTTTGCTTTTTGCATCATCATTTTTGGATTAGAAGTACTCTGCCAGCATGTTTGTCTGTATTACTTGTAATTGTTAGTATACAAACTATCAATGTTAAAAGCATTAAATTTTATGAAATTGGTTGAGTAACTTTACCAGTGATTGTGGGATATCTGCATACTTTGGGCCTTCAACTGATAAATTGTCCAAGATGTCAAATCTTTTATTTTTGAAATTTATGCTGAGGACATAGTAGTGCTCAGCATGTACAATGGGGAACATAAACTGTAACACCCCCCAAACATGACCTATATAAAAGGCCTTAACACCTGCAGATCATACAACAAAACTAGCACAGCGGAAGATAAAACGAAAACTGGATAGAAGAAATCCAAACGGGGTGTTATGCCACGTCTACCAAACACGGTAAACGCTACGGCGATCAATCTGCAAGTGTATACATCTATCCCAAAAGGTAACAGTCTAACACTACAACGGCACACAGGCCACAAAACAAAGTTAAAGATACTAGACTACCGGCCTATAACATCGCGCTCGTCTAGACATCACCTGAAAGATACAAAGATAAACATTGGGACGACGCCCGGTCAGCGATAATTCTGGTAACCCACCAATACCGTTAAGTATCATACATAAATAGATATAAGATGTAAAACCATTTTCGAAACGGAATACATATATATAAGTCAAAACCAAGATCAACAGTCAACACAAGACTCATCACTCACAAGGATAACACGGGAAGACATCCCAAACCACAAAGGCTAACCACAACGCGAAGGATAAAGACTCACCCAACGGCAACACATGCCAAAGCAACACATGCCTCTGTGACTACACACGTCACGAGAGAAGAACACACAACACCGGCTTTACAATCCCACGCAACATCACCCATCACGAGTTGAAATGCCTTCCTTATGCCCTGTTCCAACCTTATGGCTACCCCCAACCTTATATCTTCTTCCAACCATTACCTCCAGGACCCCTGTACTTCTTAGTCCAACCTTATTCCCCCGGGACCGTCGTCCCCCACCAACGACCACCAACGAGGCCACCAATTCATAGTACACAAGGTACCGTACACGGAAACACATGCCCAGATAACACATATTATCCCCCAAAAACGTGAACCTTACACAAAGGCCACAACTCCATAATCACGTCACGGCCACCACGAGGACCGCTGCAATACCTTGGTGACTAGTGTCTCATACCACTAATCGTGCAATCCAGGTAAAGCCACACACGCACCACAACTCAACAGGAGTCAAACAACGGATCACAACGAAGGTATGAAACATACTCAATCAAGGAACGGGTCATAGCCCAACACATCAACAATGAATAACACAAGTTATCATCAACCAAACGTAAGGTACAAACAACACACACGCTAGCATTAAGACAATAAACTAGCATGCTTAACAACGGAGAAACTCAAGATAGTTCTGAGGAACACACAAGACACCTCTTGGTCCAACGAAACACAATGTTGAACACTTAGCACGATTCAAGACACCAAAGTCCTACATGAATACCTACCATATAGTTCTAGACTGATAGGCATATTTTACACTCATATTTTAGGTACATCTTTATAATAATTTTGCATTAGTTATTTAATATTATCTTATAATTAATTCTTTTTATATATAATATATAAGAATACATACTACATTACTACGTACCGTACTAGTTTATACATATATATATGCATTGTATATACATATATTATTTTAATATTATTTTGGTCCAATTCTTACCCTAAGACAAAAGAAACAAAATATGGTGAAGGACTTTTATTATTAACATTATTGCTTTGCTTCTTTTCTTCGTACATGTTCGTGTAGCAGCGGAAAACATCAACTTCAGCGCAAATATTTACAGAGAACAAAATTAACGGAACAATGTCGACTTCAGGACGTGAGGCACAAAAGTAGGAAAATAGGTGGTAGAGGTTCATTGAGTCTATTTTAAGAATACTATAAATAGTAGAAGTTTCCTATTGTAAAATGTTCATTCTTCCCCTCTCGATTATTCTATAAAGTTATTATCAATGTCCATTCGTTGCTAATTTCTTTAGCTTGGTTTAGTGAATTGAAGCCTCGAAATTGATTATGCTGTAAGATTATTTATTTATTTTTATTGTATAATTTTTATGCATTTGGGTATTAAATATTCTTCTAAGTTATTTGAATAGTTGTATCATTTAATTGCTGGGGAGGCCTACTAGTTATTTATTTGATATAATTATTTGCTATATTAGTTAATGTTTTGCTACAAATTATTCTAATATTCAGTAGCAACTGAGGTTAATTATTGACGGCTTAGTGATAATTGGTCTCAGGTAGAATATTTTCCTAAATTAAATGCAACCGCTTGTGCTTGTGTTATTTAGTTTTTCGGTTTTCCTAGTTCCTATTGCTGCTATTAAATTAAATCTATAGCGCTTGTCTTAGATTATTTAGTAGTTAGGGGTAATTAAACCGCTTGTGCTTTATTTACCTACAACTAAGGGAAAACAAAAATGAAATAATTTCACGACAAATATTCAATTGCATATTAATTACTTTATTAATCAATGATCAGTATTGAATTCCGGTGGTGGATCTTTACTAACCAAGGTTTCTTATTATAAGTGTTTTCAATATATTGTTTTCATTGCTTTATTCGTTTATTTTCTTTGATTATCACCTTCATACCAAAAACCCCTTTACTTTAATTTGAACACATACATTAAACTAGTTACTCCTCGTGGGATCGATCCTTACTCCCGCTACTACGTTTGTAAGGTTTTAATTTGGGAGCCTACGACAGCTCACCATAGACATACGAAACATCAAGAATACACTCAAATAGTTCCACAAAAGAACAACGGGAAGTCAAAAGACCAAATACCGAGTCAAACGAATCACAGGGAACAAATCCCATCTCAACACCATTGTGTTCCCCGCGGGTGGACCCACGGGTAGGCCCCTACCTGTGGTTCCGCCCGCGGGTACACTACCCACAAGCCTATGTACCGGCGGGTGGGCGGTGGGTAGGGCTCTCCCCGCCGTTCCGCCCGCGGGTACATACTCCTGTGCAAAAAGATCCCTTCGGGGATTTTCTTCTCCAAACACATAATCAAGTCCAAAACATGCCAAATCTCACCCAACACAACAAAATGACTTGAATCATGGAAAATTCCTAGCAATGGCACAAAGGAACCCTAAACACAAGCTCTAGATATGCAATATCACAAGACAAATGCATAAACCCTCACATTTCATAGCAAAACACAAGTAGAATCCAAGGAATCACATATAGGTAAGCAAAATAGGTTTTGTAGAGCATGTGTTACCTCTTGTAGACCAAAAGACTTCACTTTACACCACAACAAGCTCCCCACAAGGCTTACTTTCCAAACCCACTTCAAGATTAAACCAAAAGATCATAAAGATCCTACCTTTAAGAAAAAGACAGCTAAGATAGAACCAAAAACACAAGATGGACTTAGATCTTACCCTCCTAGATGCCCAAATAGGTGAAAGGTTGAATCTTGGAAGCAAATCTTGGAATCTTGACAAGGGTCTCAACTTGGCTTGGAGAATAAGCTACACTTCTTTTCTAGAGAGAAGGTGGAGCTAATTTCTAAGAATTGTAAGGAATGAAATGAAGAAGTCTTCTAGGTTAGGTTACAATACTAACTCTTGGTGAAAAGTCAAGAATACCCTTACTAACCTTTAGAAAGTGTAAGGAACAAGGGAACTCCCCCCAAAGCTCAAGGTACAACACAACTTTAAGGTTGACTAGTCAAATACTAGTCCTTGAGTATTAAAAATCAGGATTTTAGGAATTAATTCCTCAATTGAATTAGGATTAATTACTCAATTAATCCCTGGATTGAATGTGGATTTTTGGGGTGTCACATAAACTGTTTGAAAGCATAGAATTAGTAGTTTAGTTGCACAAATAGATATAGTTTATTGCAATATTGATATAAGTTATTTGTACAATTGCGTATATAGTGTGTAGCTTACCAACTCAATATTTTCAAGGCTTAATCCTTCTGTCACTCCAATTTCACCATCCAATCTCTCTGAAAATCTTCTAAACCTCAATGCATGGTCACCGTAGGGGGCTACAATCGTGAAAAGCTGCAATAAATGTAGATGTTAGGGTGCATTTTACAAATTTTTTTTTATATGTAAGGTTATTATAGTTGTAGTAAAACTTACGCATACGAATGTTGTTGCAAAAAATCTGCAAGGTGAGGTATTGCTACGGGCCCTTTCTTTATAGTTTAGAATTGTAGACCAGGCATCTACGACTCCAACCTTAATCTCCTTATCAATGGCCATGGATAACATGTCATCCCATATGATTGCCTTATCACCATATTTGAAAATCTCTTTTGTTCTGTTTGTAAATAATAATAATAATAGTAATAATAGTAATAATAGTAATAATAGTAATAATAGTAATAATAGTAGTAATAGTAATAGTAATAGTAATAGTAATAGTAATAGTAATAGTAATAGTAATAGTAATAGTAATAGTAATAGTAATAGTAATAGTAATAGTAATAGTAATAGTAATAGTAATAGTAATAGTAATAGTAATAGTAAATAGTAAATAATAGTAATAGTAATAGTAATAGTAATAGTAATAGTAATAGTAATAGTAATAGTAATAGTAATAGTAATAGTAATAGTAATAGTAATATAATAGTAATAGTAATAGTAATAGTAATAGTAAATAGTAATAGTAATAAAATAGTAATAGTAATAGTAAAATAGTAATAGTAATAGTAATAGTAATAGTAATAGTAATAGTAAAATAGTAATAGTAATAGTAATAGTAATAGTAATAGTAATAGTAATAGTAATAGTAATATAGTAATAGTAATAGTAATAGTAATAGTAATAGTAATAGTAATAGTAATAGTAATAGTAATAGTAATAGTAATAGTAATAGTAATAGTAATAGTAATAGTAATAGTAATAGTAATAGTAATAGTAATTAGTAATAGTAATAGTAATAGTAATAGTAATAGTAATAGTAATAGTAATAGTAATAGTAATAGTAATAGTAATAGTAATAGTAATAGTAATAATAGTAATAGTAATAGTAATAGTAATAGTAATAGTAATAGTAATAGTAATAGTAATAGTAATAGTAATAGTAATAGTAATAGTAATAGTAATAGTAATAGTAATAGTAATAGTAATAGTAATAGTAATAGTAATAGTAATAGTAATAGTAATAGTAATAGTAATAGTAATAGTAATAGTAATAGTAATTAGTAATAGTAATAGTAATAGTAATAGTAATAGTAATAGTAATAGTAATAGTAATAGTAATAGTAAATAGTAATAGTAATAGTAATAGTAATAGTAATAGTAATAGTAATAGTAATAGTAATAGTAATAGTAATAGTAATAGTAATAGTAATAGTAATAGTAATAGTAATAGTAATAGTAATAAGTAATAGTAATAGTAATAGTAATAGTAATAGTAATAGTAATAGTAATAGTAATAGTAATAGTAATAGTAATAGTAATAATAGTAATAGTAATAGTAATAGTAATAGTAATAGTAATAGTAATAGTAATAGTAATAGTAATATAGTAATAGTAATAGTAATAGTAATAGTAATAGTAATAGTAATAGTAATAGTAATAGTAATAGTAATAGTAATAGTAATAATAGTAATAGTAATAGTAATAGTAATAGTAATAGTAATAGTAATAGTAATAGTAATATAATAGTAATAGTAATAGTAATAGTAATAGTAATAGTAATAGTAATAGTAATAGTAATAGTAATAGTAATAGTAATAGTAATAGTAATAGTAATAGTAATAGTAATAGTAATAGTAATAGTAATAGTAATAGTAATAGTAATAGTAATAGTAATAGTAATAGTAATAGTAATAGTAATAGTAATAGTAATAGTAATAGTAATAGTAATAGTAATAGTAATAGTAATAGTAATAGTAATAGTAATAGTAGTAATAGTAATAGTAATAGTAATAGTAATAGTAATAGTAATAGTAAGCAAAGACAGTAGAGACTTTAATATATTGATGGACCAACATTGTTAGTTATATAGTCTTACGGTTCAACATTGGGATTATGTAGAACCCATTTGGCAATCATTTTTTCATTGTTATTCCATGCTCGGTGAACATCAACTGTTCTTGTCAAGTACGGAGACTTCAATGGATTGGTGATTTTCACTTGCCGCTTCTCAGCCCTTGGTTGCAGTGCCTGAGGTTGTTTTGGTACATTCTAATAAACTGCCACTGCTGGCTCTTCCTGTTGTGGTTGTGGTTGTGGTTGTTCAGGCAGAATCTATAATGATACAGTGCAACTACTTTGATCACAAAGTGCAAGTAGTATATTGTAATAATGCAAGTAAGTTTTTAAAGTTTCATTACCTCATCAACAGTCATCTGTGTTTGCTCTTCTGTTTGTTCCTGTCTTGTATCTTGGTCTGGTGTTGCCTCATCAGGTGAAGGGTTAAGAGGTGTTTTAAAGCTTGAATCTGCTACAGTCCTTGTGACATTTCGAATTGCATTTTCAATCTCTTCTTGAGTCAGCCCCAAGCTGAAACTTGGTCCCTCTGCTACCTTGTTCCTGCACTGCTCTCTTCTGGTGATTGCATCATCAATTGCATCAAATGCAGCAATGAACTCTGGGTTGTTCCAGAACTCTTCATTTTGTTGGGTCAATGTAACATCAGGGTTTGGAATTCCAAGCAGTTTCTGTGCAGATTCCACCATTTGCTTGAAGTTCTCATCTTCATCTGTATGCTCAGGTGCCTCTTGCGCCATTTACATTACTTCAAGCATTGTTTTTGCTAGAAGTTTTATCTTTTTGGCAAACCTGTGCATATAACTCTTTTTTTTTTTTTTTTTTTTTTTTTTGCAGTTAGTAAAAGCATGTGTTAATACTCTGAGTGCACAAATTCTAGGGTGTACATGCATATACAAAATAAATTTATTACACACAATGTATTATTAACATTTTAATATTGTTCAAACATTATATTGATGTGGTATGTATGATTTATGCACACAAGAAGTATTAACCATGTATAGGGATGTATTTAATCAACTAGTTAACCGTTTATTACTTTTTTTTTGTTACAAAATTATATGTGCACTAATACATATAACTTCATACACATATAATTTAATCTAGTTGCATAACATAAGATTATTGATATTTACCTGCTGGTCTTGATCATCATCTTGGGATTTGTTTGTGTCTGTCAGTTGCAGGACTTCTCCTTGTGCCTCATCAATGTAGCCGTAGCTGAAGCCACCCAAACTAATCTCAGTCTTTTCCCTCTGGTTCAGTAGACGCGTGTCCCATCCTTTGAATGTTGGCAATGCCCTAGGTACTGTTCTGTTGTAAAGCACAACTCTGTCAACATAAAAAACCTACAAAATATATAAAACAATGCTTAGTTTTGCTTTAGTAATCACTCGTAGTTGTGTGTCTCGTTCATAAAGACACTTACCGCCAGGAATAGTATAGACCCAGTGAACTTTTGTGATGTATTTTTGGCCCATGCAATTTTGCTGCTGACCAATGCGCTGAGTAGATACTCACACCAATTGAGCTTACTAATGTCATCCACATTTGCAAAATTCTTTATCAGGTGTGTGTTGACATAGCCAGTTGTACTGCCCTTTACAAACATTGTTGTTATCAGTATGGCAAGATGACGTTTGAACCATTCCCCGCCACTCTTGCAAGCTAGCATTGTTGCACACAACTTCTGAGGTGTTATATTCAAATCTTTTCTGGCCAACACTTTCTTCCATTCCTCAAGTAAGGTGTTATTGTCATCTTCTTTACATCTTCTCTCAATTTTGATTCTTCCATTAGGAAACCCCAGTGCTTGGGCTACATCCTTAACTGTGATGTGCAGCTCCTTTCCATCCCTCACACGTAAACAAGAGCTGCGTGGGTCATAGTTGTTTACAAGCCACCATCCCATTTTGCCAGGGACTTTTGAAATGTGTTGATGATGTAGGTGCTCAAACCCCATCTGTCTTACACTCTGCCATTGTTGATCGGTGAATTTCTCAAAAGCTTTTATAAGTTGGTATGGGGTTGCTCTTGCTGTTAAGGATGGGTAAGAAACAGCGTTGTATGTTTTTTCTTCTGCTTGTGTGTTTGTTTCTTGAACAAGTTTGGTTTCTTCATCATCAGACCCCTCTGTGGATTCATTGTGTTCATTTTGGGATTCTTCTTGTTCTTGTTCTTCAGCTTGGGATTGTTCCTGTTCAGATTCTGCACATTGTAGTTCTT